ATTTTTTCGATTTAGTATAATTTTCTTTCAAGTACTTTTAGTGTTCATTTTTTTTCTTTTACACTCAAAATTATACAGGGTTGTTCACCACATACGACACGGAATATTATAAAATAACTAAACGATTAGATTTTTACAAATTGGAAGTTTTGGGTTCGTTGAAGGACTATTAGAGCTACAATTTAAAAATATTTTTACAAGATACAGAGTGTCCCAAATAAATAAAGAACATTAAAATTGTATTTTTTTAAATGGAACACCCTGTATATTATTACATTTTTAGTTTCTACGATTAAAATAAAGGTAAATATGATTAAGGTTTATTACACTTAAACCTTACCGTTTTTGAAATATTTTCAATTTTGTGAAATTGCAGTATAAATTTTAAGGCTTCATTTCTCCGAGGGTATCAAAGTTTTTAATACTAAATATTTACTGAAGTTTATTTATTGATCAGTTATTGTATTGCAATAAAAAAAAAATTACTACCTTATATAGAGTGTCTAAATATTTATTTTAAATAATTATTAGCTCTAAACGGCAATAACTTGTTTAATTTAAATGGAGCACCCTGTATATTTTATGAGAATCAGATGCACAATTTAATTGTCTATCAAATTGTATTATACCATTTTTTACCCATCTCTTCAAGTTTCCGTAGAAAATGCATTTTCTTGTAATTTAGAACTCATTTATTAATATACCCATGGAATACTGATATTTTAGATTATTTTTAAAGATGTACCAAATTTTTAAAGAGTAGATACTAATATTAGGGACTTCTTGAACGTCGTTTAAGCATTTTGCCTTATTAAGGTTTGCCTTATTATGACAGGTACGCATGCGCAAAAGGATATTTTTAATAAGGGGACCTTAATAAAATACTGCCTGCCCTTATTTACGTCTGGTTACCATAACCCGTTAAGGAAACTTAATTTGCCTTATTTTTAACCATAACCTAGGTTTAGGGCGTTAAAAAGAAGAAAACAAGAAGTTTTGTTTGCGTTTTTTTGGTTATGTTATGTTTTGAATGACAAAGGTACGGTACGGGTTAAGATAATTTGTGAAAAGTACCAAGCGAAGTATTTATTAGTACCTAGTTATCGTAATAAAAAAATACAAAGGCATAAAACGTTCAGAAGAGTAAACAACACAACGGTAAGTAAACAAAATAAACGGTTATTTCAATTGTCGATGTCGACGCTTGTCAATTGTCAATATTCAATATTGTCATTTGCCAATTTAACGCGTCAGAAGTGAAGTGCCCTCCAATAACTCATATATTTGACACAGAAAATAAGACATTCCTTATTAAAATAAGGCATTCCCTTAATAAGGCATGACCTTAAATTGCCTTAAACCACCATATTCAATAACTCCCTATTGTCGATATAGTTCGTTTATTTCATTAAAAAATAAAAAAAACTGTTTAAATATTTGTTCAAGAGGACCAATTCATATGATTCCAGTATTCAAACTACATTAATTGACTGTTTGCGTTGATTAATAATAATTGCTCCAAATACTAAAACACTGAATTATGTATGTGTATTAGAGAGTGTGGTAAAAAAACTAACACCTTAAAAATGATATTTCATTTTTTGACAAATGATTATTTATAACAGAGACGTTCATTTTCATAACTTATTATTATATTAATTTCTGATTGAAATCCACATTTATTTAGAATAATTTATTAACGAACACAATTAAGTATGTAATTAATTAGTATTTGGGCGGAAATACTGGTGGTATACTATTTAATTAATGGTATACTCTTTTATAAAGATTTAAATAGTTTTCCTTTTGCATACAAATTGGCTAGTAATATTATCATTTTACTAAAAGCGATAATATTACTAGCCTGTACATTTTGTACATTTATTGTTTTAAAAACAATCTAAAATGTCAATATTCCATGGGTATATATATTGATAAATGAGGTCTAAATTATAAGAAAATGCATTTTCTACGAAAACTTGAAGAGATAGGTAAAAAGTGGTATAATACAATTTGATAGACAATTAAATTGTGCATCTGATTCTCATAAAATATACAGGGTGTTCCATTTAAATTAAACAAGTTATTGCCGTTTAAAGCTAGTAATTATTTAAAATAAATTTTTAGACACTCTGTATAAGGTAGTATAATTTTTATTATTGCAGCACAATAACTGATCAATAAATAAACTTCAGTAAATATTTAGCATTAAAAACTTTGATACCCCGAAGAAATGAAGCCTTAAAATTTATACTGCAATTTCACAAAATTGAAAATATTTCAAAACGGTAAGGTTTAAGTGTAATAAACCTTAATCAAATTTACCTTTATTTTAATCGTAGAAACTAAAAGTGCAATAATATACAGGTTGTTCAATTTAAAAAAATACAACTTTGATATTTTTTATTTATTTGGGACACTCTGTATCTTGTAAAAATATTTTTAAATTGTAGCTCTAATAGTCCTTCAACGAACCCAAAACTTACAATTTGTAAAAATCTAATCGTTTAGCTACAATACTCCGTGTCGTATGTGGTGAACAACCCTGTACATGCGAATGTAATTTTGAGGGTAAAAGTTTCTATAAGTGAGACATATTTTAATGCTAAAAAAGTATCAACATATTCACGAGGGACGTGCATATGGGTTATCACTAGAATATTTTTCTAAAAAAAGCATGTACGCCACTGACTTTTTTTCTCTTGTTAGCGAATTAGTGTAAGTCCCGAGAAGCTTGATTTTCATGCATCCGTTGTCGGACGATAAGTTGATACGATATTACTTTTATTGGTAGATTTTAAAGACTTTGATTGGTTAGAAAATAACGCAGTTTTTAAATTTATTGCATTTTCATGCCCCCGTTTATTGGATATACGTTGGTGTTATTTTATATTTTCGTTTCCATAACGATTTTGCTATTTTACTTATATTTTTATTAAGGTTAGATTAAATTTGTCAAAAAAGTGTCAAAACGTCCGTTATCATATGAACGGGTCCGTTGACGGGCTGAAGTAAGTTGTTTTTTTGATATTTTGTGGATATCGGCGTCCTTAGAGATAAACGCAGTTTTACTAATTTGCCTCGATGTGAAGAAATTAGTACTCCATTCATTCATCATCAAAAAATATGAGAAAACGTTCCTATCTATAAACATGTGCATGGAAATGCATAGTTTTAAAGTTACAGGATGTTAAACTTTGCTATCAAAAGAAAAAAGTCAGTGGGGTACTTGTTTTTTTTTCCAAAAATATTCCAGTCATAACCCATATGACACTTTTTTAGCATTAAAATATGTAGCACTTACAGTAATTTTTAACGTCTGTTTTTAAGTTCAGAATTTCATTCGAATCACTGACACGAAAAACGGACACCTTAAAATTTAGATGTATTTTAAAGTTAAATATATTTTGTTCTAGTGGGCCGATTTTAATAATTTTTAAGTAATTTGCAGCTAAATTATTTTACTTTTTAGTACCTATCGCTTTCTAAATTAAAAATAAAAGTTTCCATCTCTTAATTATACGAGGGAAAATAAAATGTTGATATTTTGATAAAAGTTTGAAACACCCTGAGGAATATGTTAACAAAGCAAGGATTTTAAAAATCGTTTTATCATCTAAAGATCTAAGTACGTTTTTTCTCGATAGTTTGTTTTTTGATTCATCTCAATAGCTTTATTTTTATTGGAGATATTTGCTTTCGAATAAGACAGTAACGATTTACAACAATTTTAGCATTGATTTTGAGTCCTCATCATTTAATTTATTGTTTTTGTGATGTCACTGTCATTGAAAAGTCATAGCTATTTTATTGTTTATTGACGTTTACTCTAGTAGAAATGGTTTTAAGTTCTGAAATATCGGCTATTGCTTCTTTAATTTAATTTTGGTCTTCAAATCATATCTGCTAGAGTAACTGCCTTAATGACCATAATAATTTTATTTTTCAATGACATGATATTACATAATCCATAAACACTTTTTTGTAGGTTTGTTGACTATGACTAAAAGCAAAGGCATGGTTTTATTAATAAGTAGTTTTTTAATATAAATAATACGAAAAAATGTTAGGGTCTTCTTCAAAAACGAATATCTCCAAAAAAAAGAGCTATTGAGATGAATCAAAAAGCAAACTATCGAGAAATGATACATCTAGATGATAAAATCATTTTCAAATTCATTGCTTCGTTAAAATACTTTACAGGGTGTTTCAAACTTTCACCAAAATACCAACATTTTGTTTTCCCTCGTATAATTGACAGATGGCAACTTTCACTTTTAATTTAGAAAGATATACAGTAGAACCGCGATTATCCGAGTCGCAATTATCCGAGCTCCGGATTAACCGATCCAATCTAAAGACCCTGATTATCCGAGGTCGCGCGTCTATGCTCTGTATTAACCGAGCTTCTAAAATATGCTATATGCATATTTACATATTTCCGTTTAAAATCGTTGGGACCGACGGGGAATCCACTTGGCCCGTTTTTTACCATTTTACGAATAATTTGATACCACACACTTGTCGTTATGAACCGCATGTTACAATTTCAAATAAACCATATGCGAAAATGTCAAAAGTTGACATATGATATGTCATTCTATTCAGAGTGTCATGTTCTATCAAATAAAGTAAAAAAAATACCGAGAGTGCCATTTAAAAATCAAAAGTTGTAGTCATTGCGGGTGAAACCAGAAGTGGTCAAAAATAATAATTGAATATGTCGTTTAATCCTAATTTATGTCATATACTGACAAACCAAATCTTGCTGTTTTATCTGAAAAAATAGCTATAGGGGTGAGCCACTTTTGAGACGCACCCGGTATATAAAATTTTAAGGTGTCCGTTTTTCGTGCCAGTATGTTGATATGAAAAATAAATCTTATTTTTACGTGAGTAATCTCCTCATGAGAGATGGCAAATGTTTTTTTTTGAACACCCTGTATAGTAAAATAGGAGTAACAAAAGGGCAATCGTAAGTAAGTAATATAGCTGCTTACTTCATCAGTGTATTCGTCAAATGGATCTAAGTTTTTCCTTAGTGTTCCCGAAAACAACACCGGTTCTTGAGGTATAATAGAAATAGCCGATCTCAGACGATTAAGAGAAATAGTAGCCGTATCTATATCGTCTATAACTATTTTTCCTTCGTTAATAGCTAATCTGAACAGAGCCATAATAATAGACGACTTTCCTGCCCGGTTCGCCCCACAATACCAACTTTCTCTGAACTCTGGATACGAAATGTTAAATCTTTGAGAACCGGCGCTTCACCGGCTACGTATCTTAAATTCAAGTGTTCGAATGTAATGTCTCTTTCTCAGGCCACGATTTTGCAGGGTCTCGTCTTTTTCGTCGCGTTCCGGAACTACGTCAGCATATTCCTTTATTCTTTCCACACAAGTCATAGTGTTCTCAAGTTCGCTCCATTGTTTCATTCCCCATTGGAACATTCCTGTTAAGTTTAGGGATTGGGAGATCGCCAGACCCACGCTACCTCCAAAGGTCTCTAAAAACAAAACATAAAAAATAAATATCAGGATGTTCCTTAATGACATGCTGATTAGTGATGAGCAAATGATCAAGACTTGATCGCCTGGTGTTCATCCAACCATTACTCGTAACGATTTTTACAAGAGACCTTTTTTACGTAAAAAATGGCGGAAATGTACATTTTTTCGCTCAATAGTGTAATATAGGTACGGACCATAGATTTAGTAAGAACAGATATCACATTGTGCATTTTAACCCGATCAAACAACCGGAGGTTGGCTACGTACTGTAAAAACCAACTGAGATAGAGAAGGCGACATTGCCACATCTCAAATTTGCGCCTATCTACTTAGTTTGATTTGCAGAAAAGGTGACTTTAAAACCTTCACCGGATATCAATAAATCTCAATTTCTTAATTAAATTAATAGTTTATTTTTAAAGAAGAATGCGTAATAATATGTTATTAACCAGAGGATATATGCGTTACTATTAAAGAACATGTTTACTGTTTAATGTGCTGAAACGTCTAGAACTATTGGCAACGTCGCTGCTAGTCTTCCAGAATGAAATGAGCCGTCCGTCCCACCACCCCTCGCGACGGCCCTTGGTCCGTTATAGCGTACTACGTTTAGCTTACGGTGTGTTTGAAGTCGGAAATAAGTCCGAAGTGAACTTTTCAGTGTTTTTCAGTAGTTTTTGCTTTTGTTTAACGTACTTTTGAATCTGCGAATTGTCAATATGGTACGACAGTGTCAAATGTGAAATAAGCTCAAATTACCCGAATTTGTCTTTTCACAGGTAGGTATTGTTTCCACCGTAATCGTACATAGGCGTCCCACAAGGGAGCCTCTCACAATTAAAATAATTTCTAATTATATTTGTTGAATTTTGATCTATTAAAACAAGAACGTAGTAGCCGGTAATTGAATTATAATTCGTCTCAATTACTACCTAACTGTTGTAGATCATAACAAATTTGAATATAAACGTTGCATATTTGAAACTTTATTATAATTGATTATAAGCCAGAAAGTGACATTTTTTTTAAATTGCGTCATATTTTGGTCATTATATACGATATTCTAAAGGAATTTTGCTCAACAAATAAACAAAGGAGTTTACCCGACCTTTTTTACATTTTATTGCTTTATTATGTCTTATATCTGCCCCTTCGGTCTTGTTTAGACAAGTTTTTACCACCGTACAATACAAATACCTCTTCCTAGAGTTATTTGTATGGTGCGTTTACCTTTTTTTAGAATGGGACGAACTGTAAATAATTCTTAGGCTACTAGTTTTATACATATCTATATACAGAGTGACCCAGGCCTCCAAAAAAGCTTTTTACCTATTACGTTTTTGGTTTATGATTTTTATTTCAATCTTTACATAAGATCGGAGCCATCGTAACGCACATTTTCAAAATATTTTTGTCAACATACAGGGTGATTCAAACCGCAATACATATGCTTAATACAGTTCATGAAGATTGGGACGTTTAACTAAAATTTGAATGTCTGATTAAGTTACCTAAGTAATGGATTTGTAAATAAACGTAATATTCATTATTATGCGACAGAAATCCCATACTGTAGCACACAGATTTGATACTTTTAGTGATAAATGCCCTCTATTGAGAGACTAAAATGTAATTGCCTTGTATCAGAGCCATCATAATACGAGAACAAGACCGAAAGTCAAATCTTGTCTTATATTTTCAAAAAAACACAATTTTCTCATTAAAATAAATATTGATTTTAGGTATAGGAAGTTATTAATAATACAAGATTAAACAACTACTAAATAAATCGTTACTTAATTACTAATTTGAAAATTTTTCTGAGATCAAAAAGGTAAAACTAAAACCCAAACTATCATTTGAGATTAAAACGGAAGTTCTAAACAAGAAAAATTTATTTATAAGTTTTATGTATTCAATTAAATTTGGACGAAAGAATTATTACTGGTTTTGCCAGGCAATTGTCTCAGAAAAAATGAATTTTTAAGTCAAAAAAGTCAAAAGGACAAGTTATTCTAAAAAGGACTGTCCTTTTCAAAAAACCCTAGGTATTTCTGGAAATGGAAATTTAATGGCAAATCTACAACTTTAGTTTGAAAATATGTTCCTGCCACCTATGATTACAAAAATGTCTAAAATGTACTTTACCATTGCCTCCATGTTCTAAAGTAGAACTCCACATATGTTTTTTAAAATGAAAAGGTATTTTGAAAAGAATCGTTTTATGCAGTTAATAGGAAAGGAAGCATTTTGAGCTTTTGATTTCATCTATCTAATTTTTGTCACATAATTATAGGTTTATATCTAGTTTTAATTCTGATATAATTAAATTATGTTTTAAACGTGTATGTTTTTATTACCGTTGAGTATTTTGCTCTACATCCCATTTTACTTTAATTTTTGTTAAATTAACAAAAGGTATATAATAGCTTCCTAGATTTTTTCAAATAAAAGATCTATTAACGCAAAATCATAAAAATTAAAATGTCTAGGAAAATTTTTGTCTGAGGGTTAGATTGATAACCTTAATAATATTTTGAAGATATATAAATTCCCCATTGAACACTGGAATACTATACTGGGTGTTTTATTCATTTAATATATAGGAGTAACTTGCTTTTAATAATTTGGTTTAACATACTATGGTTGTTGTAATTAAATATCAGGCTATACGGGGTAAATTAAGATTTAGGTAGCTGTTATTGAAATTTAAAATTTACCCTTCATTTTCACAAAATGTGAAATATGTCACAATCCTTATAATTTAGGCATAATATGCAACTTTAATAAAACTCACCTTAACGTTACAAAAAACACAACTTTGATGTGTAACTTTTTATGGGGACATCCTGTACAACTTTATATATTTTTTATAAAATGCTTTTAATTAACCTAAATATGCTCCAAAAATTTCAGTTTGATCTCTTTGGAGCATTCGCGTCGTATGAGAGGCACCACCCTGTTAACGCCTACATATTTTTTTTAATTATATAATATTTATTAACTAAAATATATGTATACAACTGTTTAAAAATATACAATTCAATAATATTGTTAAGCTTTATCTTCGTGGCAGTTGTTGGTGGCGTCCTTCATCTGCAACAGTTTGAAGACTTTTAAGATTCTCCCTGAGCAGATGGTATCGAAGGCATTGTCCTTTTTTTATAAATTAGTCTATGTCGTCTACGTTTATACGCTCTTCTCAAATATGATGTTTTTAATTTTTTTCTTAAAATTTTTATAATTTAATTGTGTAAATTCTTTTGGTAATATAATATATATTGTGGTAGTTTCTGTTGTTAGTTTTTGTGAAACTTTTTTTGAGTTCTCTTGGCTGTTCTGATGTCTGATTTTCTTCTAGTTTCGTAAGTGTGTATTTGTTTGTTAGTTGTTAGGGAAATATTTGTTTTTATTAATTTATTTTTGATTTTGAGTAAAAGTAATATATTATAATATTTTATTAATTGTCTTATGTTTAGTTCTTTTGTTTTTTGGTATACATCTTCTGTTGGTGTTAGTTTATCTAGGTTAAATAATTTTTTTGGTATTTTATTTTGTTGTCATTGTAGCATGTTTAAGTTTCTTTCTGTTATATTATTCCAGGTATTAATCTGTACTCTATACTAATATATAAAATCCTTAAGTGACTGACTCACTGATTAATCACGATCCTGCTCAAACCAATCAACGTAAGAAGCTCAATTTTCAATACAGATTGATTCTAGGGTGTAGAGGTTTGATAAGAAGGGATTTTTCAAAATTCCGGTTCCAAGGAGGTGAAACCACCCCTCAAATATTACTATATTTTTATTTAAAAAACGGTCAAGTTTCCGAAAAAACGCTTAAACACGTATATTTTATTTTGTTTTTTATATATCGTAAGATTTTTTAAAAATGTTTACAGGATATTTCGAAAAATCTGCTCATTGATTAATCACGATTCTGCTTAAAGCGCTTGACGTAAAAAGCTGATTTTTGGAAAACGGATTGACTTTAGGGTGTAGAGGTTCGATAAGAAGGGATTTTTCGAAACTCGAATTCTGAGGGGGTGAAACCACCCCTCATATATATTTCATTTTGTTGTTTTACATATCTAAAGATTTTTTTTAAATTTATACAGGGTGTTTCATAAAATATGACCATTGATTAATCACGATTCTGCTTAAACTGCTTGACGTTTAAAGCTGACTTTGACAAACGGATTTACTGTGGGGTGTAGAGGTTCGATAAGGAGGGGTTTCTCGATTGTTTTTTCTCATGCTGACATAAATGTGAGAAAATTTTATCCAGTTTGTATGTTAATGGATATTCTTAGTTTGCTTTATCATTACCATTACAAATGATTAATTCGACGCGAACAAAGTCGCGGGTACACGATAGTTAAATATATATTCCTTGATAAAAATAATGCATGATATATTGGTTTCTTTATATTTGCTGGTATTATGTTTTTAAGTTTCAGGAGTGTGGCAATTGTTCTGGCGTTTTTTTTTAACTAGGTAAATAGTGTGTTAATTTTAAATTAAAAAATAAACGAATTTTTGTAGTTGAATGGTGGAAATTGGTCCATCATATTGCCAGTTTTTTACGTGATTTATACTATACCTTCAATAATATCTCCAAGCCTGCCAAGTATCGCAACTAAATATCTCCGAAACCGTTCAACCAAACCCTATCTATAATCTCGCACATCGCCGGCCCTGCTTTACAATTAGATAATGAAGCTGTTTACATGCGTATCATCGCCGTTCCAAGGCGTCCCGATAATTAGAGTTTCGGCGAAAATTGGCCGAAATTTCCCGGATTTCCCGTTTGCGGCGAAGAGTTTTCCGGGAAAGGGGAATTGGTGGTAAGTGGCAACGAACAGGAAGGGCTGAAGAAAACTAAATCGGCAGTGGGAGACTATACTTAAGGTGATGTTGTAGGTTTCCTCTTTTTTGCTTCCTCTGAGGGCGATGGCATCTTTATAGCATGGTGGCTAGAAGAAACTGGAAGA